CACCTCGGCTCTGAAGAAAGAAGCCTCCGCCCGTGAACGCAAAGAGAATTCCTTCCCAAGGATCCGCAAGGCTTCAAAGCCTGACGTGCCTCGATGGATCTGATAGACTCCATCGGCACCAACACCTTCGATGTAGGCTCTCAGAAGCATATCCGCTCGCGGATAACTGGCAAATACCTGTTGCAGAATGGCAAGCAACCGTGCAGATCGCACTTGCGCACCTTTGGACAATGAAGCTGTGTGCAACTCCGTAGGCCATCGAAGTGCCTGCTCGATCTCTAGAGCAAAAACATCACTACAATCTACTTCCGTGGCAGGGGGTGGTTTCACCATGGGGGTGTTTTCAGCACAGCTTCCTTGTCCCATGGCTTTACAATGGCGGTGTCCTTGAGATAGCTGGCTGGGGCAGTGAGATGACTGCTCCCATAAAGCAGCTGTGGTGAAAACAATAGGGTTGCTAACAACAGGTGGCCGCTGAAATTGGTTCCATTGGGCAGCTGGGTAAGACTGAGAGTTAGGCCTTCAAGATTGGTTATTACGCAGCTGCCTGTGGACAGACAAGGGGCGCTAGATGTTGGCTAGCAACAGCAGTGGGTAGAATTAAACAAAGCTGGCACTGCTGCTGCTGCTGCTGGTACGCTGGCTGCCTTACATGGTCTGGAGTACTGTGAGCTCTGTTCGTGGTGATGTCTCCGCTACCAGTCCGCCATGTGGGCCACTCTTGATACTTGAACGGCGCTCTTGCAGGGTACTCTGCGCGGCTTGCTGCAGTGCAGTGTGTTTTTTTGCTGCGCGTGGTGTAGGGCACAGCGCAAATAGTTGTGGGACACTCATTGTCAAATCCAGACTTGAGCCACAACTATTATTATTTCAAACAAAGAAATACAAAGCATACAATATACATAATATATATATACAGATGTTATATATATGTGTAGTAGACACTATTAGTGTTTTTTGTTTTGTTTGTTTGTTTGTTTGTAGAAATGCTCCAGGATACTGCGTGATTCCATGTTTATTGTCCAAGAGGTTTAGCTCAAAAAAACATCATACTCCCTCCATTTTTCAAATGGCTTTGATATTGACAAACTCTGTTGATGGAAGCTGGCAACGCAGTGTGACCCACAGGTCTTTTCACTCTGACTGTCAGTCAAGATCAATCACGCTATTCGCACGCAGAGGAGAAACCGTTTGAAGTAGTTTAACTGGGTAGTTTCTCGATAACAACAGTTTCTCCTCAAGAAACCTTCGTCGACGGCCAGCAGGGCTGACATTCAAGCCATGGTTGAATCTGAAACAACTTGAGGGCGATAAACACACAACCTCGCTCCACAAACCACGCTCCACAAACGTGAGCCCTCTGTAGATGCTGCGAGTCTGGCACGAACCTCTCCAAAGTTCTCTTTCTTTACGCCCAAATTAGGCTAGGCCGAAAAAGTTATTGCGCACACCTGACTGTAATTGTTTGTCTTTAAATTGCGTTGAGAGAGAGGTAACAACAAGTGGCGGTCGTTTGCCACCAAGCACCTGTCACTGTTCAGTCTTCACACATTGGAGTCTGCACCTGGCAGCATGCCCCAGAGGGCTTGAACAAAACGTGTGGGAAACATGTCGCTCAATGTCAAGCATCATGCTAAATATCACACCAGCATCGGTCAGCCATCGCAACCAAATTTTCACTTGGCGCTGGAGTCAGTGCTCAACAGGCCTAATCACACATCGGAATCGCCAAGTGCTTCAGCAAGGCGAACTTCTCCGCATTCACACGGAGCAACAGTCGGCGGACAGGCTTGGAGCCTTGCCTGGCGCGAGCGTGCTGGGGCAAACATCGGAGCCACATGAGAAAGTGCTGGGGCAACGCTCAAGCCACATGAGAAATTTGAAGGAACTGCCCAAACAATTCAATACCACTCCCCTGCCTGAACGGAACTTCTTGGGGCAAAGAGCGATCCTCAGTGCCAAGGGTGTTGTCCACACCAATGAGCAGGTAGGTCACGTAGACGTCCATCTCTTCAGCAAAGAGCGAAACATCCTCCCAGCCACTTCCAGGAACTGGCGCGCAAACACACTGCCTGTTGGGTTGCTGCATTGCAGGCACAATGTTGCAGCGCATGTCATCCTGCGAAAATTCCACAGAACAACAACCTGAGAAAGGTCATGCCAGACATCATGGCGCAAATCAACTAGGCTTAGTGCTTGCAGCGAATGAGTTTGCAAACAAGGCTGGCATGAAACTCTGATTTGAATCTTGCTTGCACGAGCTCCTTGAATCCAACTGAAGTTGAGCCTAGCGCCAACCACAAAAGAAGGGAACACGTCCTTAAGCGTTTCAGGGAAAAGTCTTTACTTGGTTCCGCTAAAG